ACTTATGGCTTCAACAAATCATGGCAGCTACAACCTGTATATGTGAAAGAGGACCATCTGTAGACCCCTCAGAGCACGCAGGTACGAGAGAAGAGATGAGTGTGGTTATTTAGAAATACTTCATCTTGGAATTTCTTGAGGAAAATGTAACAATGTTAAATATGAAAGTACCAAAATAAAGTTTCAAAATATATGCAGCAAACCCCCCAATAGATCTGCAAGGTCTATCTCAGAAAATTCTTAAGTATAGTAAATGATCTCAAAACTCCTTTCTCAGCCATCGATAGAACCGCTAAGAGAAGATCAGAATGAGTGCTGCAGATCAGAACAGCATCATCAATCTGTAACTGGTGTTCATAGACAACGCCAATCACAACAGGAAAGTCCTGTATTTCCCGGAACACTTTAACGTTTGCCAAGTTGAGTCACATTCTAGGCTGTAAAACTTAATAAACTCAGAAGGGTGGGAGTGTAGAGAGCAATTCTCTTTCCATAATAGGATCAAATTAGAAGTCAAACAGAAAAAAATCTGGGAAAAAAATCCCCAAATGTCTCCAATGCTAGCAATCCTCATCTAAATAAACCATTCACTAGTGAAGAAATCAGGACACTAATCAACAAGTGTTTTTAATAAAATGAAAAGATAATACAACAACACATGAAAGCATGTGGGAAATGCCAAAACAATGAGCCCTATGGCGTGGAACATTCATATCAAAGAACATCATAAAAAAAGAAAGATAAGAAAAAGTAAACACACGGAGACAAACAATAAATAATAGAAATAAGTAAAACAGAAAACAGACCAAAAATGAAGAAAAACAAACTGAAAGCTAATTCTTCAAAAGATTAGTAAAAATAGCAAATAGGAAAAGCCATTTTGAAAGCAGACCAAAGCTTATTCGCTTGAAGGTTTTATAAAACTGTAATAATCAGCTGGTAGAAAACACAGAACAGTGACACAAAACAGAACTGGGAAATAGACCCACACAGGTACCGCCCACTACTTTTCCAGAAGGAAGGGGGGGGGGTCTTTTCAACAAAGACAAGAAGAATGTGTTGGTGGATCAGTGGACAAGGACATGGAACCAAGGGAGGAAAGAGCACCTGCTGCCTCACCTTGCACATTCAAACAGCACAATTACACTAGAACCGAAGAACTAAAAGGATAAAAATAGTTCTTAAATAGAACAACACAAAGCAGAAACCGTAGAGGTAAAGTGATAAGTTAGAGTTAATAAAAGCCGAAGGTAGAGTTACAGTTCAAAGCAATACTGTTAAAGACTAGGGAAATTTGGGAGGCAACCAAAACTTTTTAAATAACCGTACTGATAGCTGCAAAAGGACACAAATTTGTCACAACTCAGTAAACTGTATGCTTACATGGGGTGAGTTTCAGTGTATGGATAGCTCAATAAAGCTGACTTTAAAAGTCACACATCTTCACCCGCCTGCCTCTACTGTGTCCGTCTTGCCTTGGGTCTACTGAGCCGCTGGGGATCTTTAAGAACCCTTCCATGGACTTGAGGGTGCAGTCAACACAGACTGAACGGAACACTTGTGCAACTGCCGAGCTATACATGGGTACCCGGGAGATACCTGTAGATCAGCGTGGGAAGCAAGGGGGCGTGGTCTCTGTGAGAACTTAGCAACAGTAAATGCAATTTGAGAAATGCAAAGGATTGTCCAGTCCCCGGGCACCTAGTCTTCTGTTACTCTGAATGGCTTGTGTCCAGCCCAAGTCTGTAGCTCCTCACTAAAACATTCTGAAACACACACATTCCAAACTCCTCAGTACTAGGCCTTCACTTTCTAAAGCTGTCTAAATAAATGAGTCAACGCATTCAGTCCCCTTACTTTCCCAGAGAGGAAGCCGAGGCTCAAACAAATGGAATGATCAGTCAGACATAGCTAGAACTGAAGCCCTTTCCCTTAATCACACTGATCTCTGCATTCCAGGAGCCTTGGCAGAATTTCTACATGAGCTGAGTATCTATTCTCAGGCTTAGAGAATGGAAAAGTAGACAGTCTATTCTTGGAACGGCAAATAGCTATAATACGGTAAAGTTTTCATCTCTCTCTCTCTCTCTCTCTCTCTCTCTCTCTCTCTCTGTGTGTGTGTGTGTGTGTGTGTGTGTGTTTGTGTAGTGGAAGGGGCGGTGTCTCTGACCTTGAGCACCTGCTATGCCCAGCTCAAGTATCAGCCAGAGCAGCTGCTGAGTCCACCAACCACCGACAGAGACAATTTTCCGGAAACTCCCTTCCCTGTACAGCTCCAGTCAAGTGTTGTGGATGGATTCTTCCATGGGAGGGCATTCAGTAACACTAAGAGGGGAGGAAGAGGAACAGAGGCAACATGCCCTCCTGCTGCTCCCACCTCTGGGAAAACTGCATTGCTAAGTGAGGTGTGGTGGTGCACGCCTTTAACCCTAGCACTTGGGAGGCAGAAGCAGGAGATCACTGTGACCGGCCAGCCAGGACTATATTGGGAGACCTTGTCCCCAAAATATTTAATCGCCACACATATTCACAATAAAATGCTCACTTGGAGAGGACAAGGATGGGGGGTAGCCTCACGTTAGCACTGGGGGGGGGTGTGGACTTTGGGTAACTTATAACAAGGGCAGTGGATGAAACATGTTAGACCTGGAAATGGTGCCATACTGCATAAATATGTAATGAATTGACCAAATACAAGATGTTTGACCAAGGACAGTTGTACAGAAATGTGGTGATATTTTATTTGTACGTTAATAAATAAAATTTGCCTGGAGATCACAGGAAATAGAAAGCCGTTTTAAGTAAACACAAAAATTAGGCAGTGGTAGTACACACTCTTAATCCTATCACTGAGCAGGCAGGGTCTCTGTGTGTTCAAGATCACACTAGGGAACAGAGCCAAGTGTAGTGACACATGCCTTTAATTTCAGTACAAACCATAGAGACCTGGAGGTCTGTACAGATAAACAGAAAGTGACAGAGCTGTGTAGGAAGAGGAAGTGAGGTGGCTGGGCTAAGAGAGCCAATGAGAGGGCAGAACAGCAAGGCAATAAAAGCCTGTGCAGACAGGAAGTCGTGGCATTTGGAAGCTGCAGAGCTGGTGAGGTAAGGTTGGCTGGTGGTTCTCACTATTTTCCTGCTTTAAGGCTTTCACTCCTATATTTGGCTCCGTGTTTTTTATTTAATAAGAACATTTAGAAATTCATCTACAGGCACTTGTTACGATTCTGATGAAAACTTAATCTCAAAACTCGTATGGTAAGTGTTCATGGAAGAGGGGCCTGAAAGACTATAAAAGTCTGAACCATTGGATGACTAGAAGGAAACATTCTCTTCTGGACACAGCAGGGCAGCTTCACATATGAACTCAGGGTGGTTGTGATGGCATGCACAAAACCTGTGCAAGCCCAAACCAGACAAATTCCAGCGAGGACAAAGGAGCTGGGCACACAACCCCACCCCAGATGGCAGAGCTGTTGGCGATGCTGCTGTTAGGAGAGAGAGTGTGTGTGTTCCCTATACTATAGGTCCTGCAAGTTGACCACTCTCCGGTAGAAGACCACACATCCAAGAATATTTGGGGAGCACAAATTGGTCCTGAAGGATTTATAAAAGAGAGAGACATGCACACAAAGTTGGGTGGGTAGGGAACGGGGTGTGAGAATTGGGGAAGAGTTGAAAGAGTGGTGAATACGACCAAAATACATTGCATAAAACTATAAAAATACTCTTAAACACATTTTTTAAATATTTAAGATAAATACATGAAAGCATCAAATGTTATATCTACTAAGTTCCCTTTGCATCAGCTAAGCATATAGTAAACATGATCCAGAAGAGTGGTACACACAGGGACAATCTGCCTCTGGCAGCCTGGTCAAACTTTCAGTCTCTGTACAGTCTTTTGGCAGGGATAAGGTTATGAGAAGGTTCAAGTTCATCCTGCAGAAGGTGGGAACTAGAATCTTTAAAGATATAAACTGACAACTGGGATAAATCCCAATTTTGATTTTTTTAAAAACAATTATTTTCATAGGAGATGGGGATGAGGATGGCAAAAATCCACCTCTGATTGATTAAAAAGTAGCCCCTTGCCGGGTGGTGGTGGCGCACGCCTTTAATCCCAGCACTCAGGAGACAGACCCAGGCAGATCTCTGTGAGTTCGAGGCCAACCTGGGCTACCAAGTGAGTTCCAGGAAAGGTGTAAAACTACACAGAGAAACCCTGTCTTGAAAAACAAAACAAAAAAAAAAAACAAAAAAAGTAGCCCCTTCATCCCCCAATGCAGAGGGAGCTGATGTCTATTTTTTTCCATGACCAGATTATGGAAGCATGATGTACCTGTGTTCTGGGGTCACGGGTGGGTTTTACCCTGTCAAAGGATATGTGGCTAGCACCTAAGGATAGACCATTGTAAAGGGTTTGCAGGTCAGCCACTGGGGCTGAGGTGAGCTTGGAGGTGAGCAATCTACCTTGTGATGTTTGAGCTTCTAAGGCAATGCCACCCTGACCTGGAACTATTTAATAATGACATCGGTGAATTTTGAGAGGCCTGGTATCACATACATGATGCTCGAGGGTAGAATAGTAGTTCAGGGAGACATTGCAACAAGCTGAATGTACACTGGACAAACAGTTATCTGGTAGCTCGGGCTCTGAGTGTCAAAGTTGCACCAGACATAGAAATTCATTGAGGCCAGGAATTCACTACCGTTGTGGGGTCTTTACAACTCTATTCATATCCTGCTTTAAGAGCTGCTGTGGATATTGCTCTGTATAAATAAAATGCTGATTGGCCAGTAGCCAGGCAGGAAGTATAGGTGAGACAAGCAGAGAAGAGAATTCTGGGAACAGGAAGGCTGAGTCAGGGATGCTGCCAGTGTACCAACATGTAAGATACCGGTAAGCCATGAGCCATGTGGCAAGGTATAGATGTAAGAACTAGATAGCTAGAAGCCCGAGCCATTAGATTGAACAGTTTGAATAATATAAGAATGTGTGTTTATTTTATAAGTGGGCTGTGGGACTGCCGGGGTGTGGTGGGAGCTGGAGAGAAACTCTCGAGCTACAAAGAGTGGTTCCCATTATGATCAGGTTAGCTTTGCTATGTGAAAATGGCTTTTCTCAAACACAAAACCACACAATCAAGGTGCTTTGCAACAACAAGTAACAATCCACTGCATCCAACCCCACCCTTCCTGCCTCATGCCCATCTCCCCACACAGGCAGATGAATGTCAGCATACAATGACATGAGCTTGGTGACTGGCAGCCATGAAGCAGGACACTCCCTTACAGCCTCAGAGGATATTGTAAGGAGGTATGGTGACAAGCTTCCAAACCCACATTCTTGGAAGGTAAATGGAACTCTTCAGACAATTATTCAGATCCACAGTTAGGTCCTGCTTCCAATAACCATGTTGTTTTCTCTCCCTATTTTTGTCCCTGAACCCATTGCCTGTGATTCCGTTTTACCACAAATAATGTGGAAGGAGGAGCCAGGCAGCTGAAACACCATATGCATGCTCAGGATATTTGAGTGTGCGCAAGGTCACAGCTGACTGTTAGACACAAGGTGGGTGGGGCTTCTGCTCACATGGTGATAGACGCAGCTGGTACCCCCGGAGCTCCTACAGCCAATGCAGAGCAGATGGCTAATGAGATAGAAAGGAGGCCTATCATGGGAGGTCAGGGAGCCAGAAATAGCTGCTGCCTTTTCGCACCAGGGATCCTGGACTGCTTTTTGGCTAAGGGAAAGAGAGGAAGGGTTCAGGCCAGTAGGGCCCTTCACCCAAAAGTTCATGGGCTTGAGTTCATGCGCTTCAACTATTGCTAATTAAATGGGTAACTTTCAAAAGATTACCCAAAAGGTAAGATGTCAGTCCCAAAGCAAACCTCATAGCTTAACTATGAGAAATGTAACTTGAAACAAAAGGCAGGGACTGTTGAACAAAATAGTGGCTTTTCTCTGATTCAGATTCTTATGGTTGCTATGTGCACATTAATGCCTAGCTCTTGATTCAGTGTATCTAATGGCTGCTCTGCTGTAGCATCTTTGTCTCAGAGACTTCCCCTCCAGGGGAAGACCCTGAAGAGAATGAGGGTCCAAAGAGAACCTAGTCATAGTCTAGTGCAGAGGCTGCCCTAGACAGCATTCCCGACAGCAGCTACCTCCTGGGCCTCTTTGGGCAAACAGGGAATCCTGTTCTCAAACCCACAGCAGCCCTGCATGTTCCCGAATGGGCTCTTTGCTATGACTCCCTCTACTATAAGAGCAGAGTCCTCACAGTGCTGAGAGCACCTTGTACAGGTGCGCTCCCCCAGTGGAGGGTCCATGCCTACTGGATTACTGAATAATTGCCCACGGAGTCACTGTTCTGGGTCAAGGTTCTCCATGCAGGAATAGATCATAGAATGGGTTCCCTTTGGAAGGTGCATGGGCACCTGTACTGTAGGGAGGGAACTTGTGGCCCTGAGTGAACATGGTTTTAGATGACTGAGCCTCAAGGCTTGTGGGAAAAGCATCTCTGGGACTAAAGAAGAGGAACACTATGAGAGAAAATACATGAGGTGTTAGTAAACGGAAAAGAAAATGTTTCCTACCCATTAGAGCAAAAATCAAGCACTGAATTTGACTCCAGATGTAGTGGAGAATAAGAAAAGCCAGCAGTGCTAGGCAGATTGCTAACTCCTGCGAGAAAACAAGAGGAAATCTTCACTGACGTCATCACAAATCATTTCTTCCATAGCATTTAGACAAACGTCTTGAGTGGGAGACCTACTATGTGTTCCTCGTGGGAAGACTGCTCTGCTGCTAACGGAAATACCCCTTCCTCCTCAAATATAGACATCTCCATAAAGTTTCTAGAAATAATCAGTCCATCCATTGGCTTTGGTTTTTAACCTAAAACTAGCCCTGGAAAGGTTGCTTTACAAACACTTTTGCCGCTTTGTGTCTGCGAATAAAGATCAGGTTTAAAAACCTGGTACGCCTAACTCTCCAAAATGATGTCCTTTCGTTACCTGGAGAGACTCGGGTCCACTTGGGCAGATACAATAAAATCCTACTGTTTGCTGTCCACTGTCACCTGATGACCCAGGAGTACAGACCCATGGGTGCTGAGTGACAGCTTATCGTCCAGGCAACACTCACTCCCCACACCATATTTAGGAATCCCGAGTCTAGAATGACTTACATTCTTCCTCGGAAAGAAACAGCAGATATGGGCTCTTGGAGACATGCAAACATCTAACTAAGCAATAGAAGGAAGACTTGGACTTCAAATGTTTATTATAAAAACAAAAGTTTATCAAGCTATATTATCAATATTTTTAAGTTATTAAGAGCCGCCTATAAAAGTGGAGGAAACTCTGTGTTCCTGCCCCCAGGAACCCAAGCTTAGGAAGCACAGATTTCATCGAGCCAAGACTATCTAGCCACTGCAAGCACATTCCTGGAAGACATGAATCCCAGATTATTTCACAGAGCAAATTTAAACCAATCCAAATATGCTCCTTGGTGATTGCTAGGGATGACTCCAAGGCAGGTGATTAGTCTTTGGAAGCCCAAGGGGGAGATTGTAAAGGCCAAGTAAGGGCAAGTGAATTTCTCAAAGAACCAGAGAGTCGGCCAGCCAGTCACTGCAGATAAAAACAGCTTTGCACAGCATGCCTACGGGCTAGACTTGCTTGCACCGCATCCCCTGAAAAGCCTGGGATGGGGTCACATGGGCAAAGGGAGTTCAGATTCTCTGAGTCTTTCTTTATTCTTGGGTAGAATGCTTAAGTGCAAGCCAGCATTGGAGGATGAGATGTTGCGGCCTTTCCCCAGGGCAGTGGCTTCCCTCTGCTCCTTAGAAAGCCCTGCTCTCTGGCTGTGCCTATTCCCGCAGGGTTGTAGCAGGTGTGCGAAAGCATTCACAGAGAAGAGCTTCACCACTAACCTGAGAGGTAGCTGCAGGTGAACTAGATTCCTTACCACTCACTGCTGCCTGCTCATTGGCTGCGGCTTCTGCCACTTCTGCAGACTGCACGCTGGAATCCTCAGCAGCAGGAGGCCCTACTTGCCCCAGACCTTCACTCCCAGGGGTGCAAGGTGGGTTGGAGATGATTTTCCGGTTTTGGCCTTTATACCAACTAGGGTAAAACAAGGGATCCGCGGTTTCCGCTGCTGAAGGGCCTGGAGTTTCAGACTGTGTGGTCTGCTGAGAGCCAATGGGCACCACCTCCCCCTTAATCAGAACAGATGGGGGTCACAGAGTAAAAAAGAAGAAGAGGAAAAGCAGTTGGTGTTATTTCCCTTTGGGTTTGAAGACCCTGAGCTCTCTGGGGATGCTGGGGCTGAATGTTCACCACAGTGCTGTGCCTCTGAGGGCATCCACGTGCTTCTGAGCTTGCCTTCCACTAGGTGGGAGCCCCAATAGGGGGGTGAAGCTTTGAGTGAAAAGTTGCGTATGAAATACCACATATGGCAACTTATTGACCAAAATTAACTCTGGTATTATGCATGGGTCCCCAAATCTGATTTTTAGAAACCAATACTGACCTAATTGATCAAACCCAACCCCCATTAATGTCTGCCTCCTCTCAATGCCAGCGCAGCTGGGATGCTCAGAAGGTCAAGGTTCAGGGAAATAAAAAGCGTTTTATCCTGGATTCCTATGGAGACAGAATACAGAATGCAATTCCATGTCCGGGTTCACTGTGGGGTTTTGGTTCTGTCAATAATCTCAACCCACAGAAGCAGAACCAGGACCCCTCTTTGATGAGCCTGCTTTTCCCACACACCCAGGAACTGGGATTCTGTGCATTGGCATGCCCTGGAAGTCAACACAAAAGCCCCCAAACTGAACAGTGGCCTTCTAGAAGCCCAGGGAAGCTGATCAGTCACTGCTTTCCTAAGACACCTCTAACCACACTTTTTTCAAATGACAAACAATTGGAAAACCAAGCTGGATTTGCTTGTCCACCGAAGGAAAGATGAAGTTGTGTTTCAGGGTAAGCTACGTGAACTCCTGTGGTTTCTCTCTTTACTTCCTCTATTCTGTGTAGGAGAGTCAATGTTCTGAAGTAGAATCACTTTCATTTCTCACCTCATATAACTTCTGCAAAGTACTCTGCGCTTTCATTGACTATGCAACAAAAGGTAGCCTACTGTCCCAAGAGCAGCTCTTATTACACACACACACACACACACACACACACACACACACACACTTTCTTGACAGAGATTGCCACAGATCTGAGAGTGTTGTTGGTATAAATGTGGCATTAAATTAAGTCTTGCCAACCAGCTGTAATGGGGATGAACCCGCTGAATGACCTGGAGGGCGTTTCTCCCTGGCATTGTGACTGTCCTGACCTCCTCTTGTCTTACAGTAGAGTACGTTGTTTAGAGTAGTTGGCAATGAGGCAGTTTGGCAGGAAGGGACTGTGAATGGTTACCTGTGTCTCCAGGACATCTGCAGCAGGTGGCATGGATGAAGGTGGCTCTGGAGAGGAAGCAAGAAGTGGCCCCGGGGCAGCCTGGAGCTCCGAGGCAAGCTGCGGGGGCTCTGAGGCTTTTTCTGAGTGTTCCTCTTCCCCCGATGACTCTATCTGAACATTTTCTACCTCTTCTACTTCCGCTGCATCCTCTCCTTCTCCTCCTTCTTCTTCTTCTGTTTCTTCTGCATCCTCTTCATCTTCCTCTTCTAGGGAGAAAAGATCTTTTAAAACTTTTTATGACTACCATGGTAGCCATGGAAACATAGCACTTACAGCCTAGGGCTAGAGAAGTCACTTCCACTGACACTAGACACTGGTCCAGGTGGACCATGCTGAAACCGTGTGCTCCTCACGTTCACCACGGCAGGGCAAGTGTGGAGGAATCACCGACTTGCTTTCATCTCCAGCACAAAGTTGTCCCCTTCCCCCCATACACCCCCACTCACAGAGCCTGCTCACATTTCTGTCATGGCCATTATATCTGCAAGCTCCTTTACAAGTCATAATAATCCATTATGAAGATGTGCCTCTAAACTTGTGTGTGTGTGGCTGGTGCGATTTCATGGAAGAGCAATTGGTCTAGCCCACCGCTGTGTCCGTCTCTCTTTTATATCTACCAGGAGTCAAGGCAGTTAGAGCTGGGGTCAGCTCCAGAGTTATTGTCTCCCTTTCAAGTACTTCATCAGGATAGTTCTAAGAGTGGGAATTCTGAGCCCTGTTGGAGGTTTCCTAGTGGCTGTGCCCAGCAGGACTGCATAAGAGGTTGACTGGACCGTGGGCCTGGGTACCAGGTGTTTGTAAGGGGCCACACTTGGCTGTATCTAGCAAGGGGGAGGTCCTTTGCTCCTCCCCTTGGCATTGTCATTTAAAAAAAACCCTTTTGAATAAAGTTCTGGGCCGATGGATAAGGACCCAGGCCCTCCTGAGGCTATCCTGTGTTTCTGTCTTTCCTCTCATCGTCTAGGTATCTCTTTCTAGTTAAAATTTCTCACTTCTCCCTACTCAAGAGTACACTGGATTGTAAAAGTGGTGGCTGGTCCCCCACAGAGCCCAAATTGAAAGACACAGTCATAGCTCATGGACTCTGTCCTCTTTCCACGCTGTGACTGACCCTGTGACTTGAGACCATCTTGTCTCTGACGTTCGATCAAGTCAGTGTGCTGCCATACCTAGCCCAGATGTCTTCTGTGTTTTCTTTTCGCCTCATCTTTAACGTTTTTCCTTTACACCACTATGATTCATACTCTGGGATAGAGTTGAAGTTGAGTTATTTATGTCAATTATTAAGGATTTCATTACCCAGAGTCAAAATTTTGATAATGGCATTAAAACACTATAAAAACCAACAGTCAAAAGCTATGTGATCGTGTGGTGAGACTGAGAATCACATTGGTTTGTGGTCCCTGTGAAGTTACAGATGTCTGTTCTGGAGGGGTCTGCACACACACACACACACACACACACACACACACACACACACA